GGGGCTGGGGACACTCAAGGGAGCTTACGGCCAGGTCAGGGGTAAACAAAACCCACGAAGCAAGGTCACCTTGAGGTGCTGGCACAGCCAGTGCAATAGGCAGTTTCACGGCTGTCTTGGGCACCTCGGCGAGACTCTCCTGCAGTCACCTAACTCACCAAAGCGTCTTCTGGGTAAACGGGTTTCGTGATAGAAGAAAACCACACCCTGTCCTGCCTCCGTCCTGCCCTACCCTTTCTGCCAAGAACCTCATCCTTGTCTCGCCAAAACAATGTGTCCTCCCGGGTGGAAAGCTTTTTGTTTGTTTGCGTAGCGAACTGCTTCTCGTTTGTTTGTGGCTGTACCCATGGGGACCCGGAGTAGAATTTCATATGGGGCCTATTCTTCCTACGCACACCACACTCTGTCCTAGACTGAGGGACAAGGGCTTCTTTGAAAAACTAAATCTAAGTTGAGACCCCAAGGATGAGGGGCAGTGTCTCAGTGGACAAATATATCCTCATCGGGGGAAAGGAAATCAGGGTCATCAGATCACACTACCATTAAATGCTTGAGTCCAAACCTTCTTGGATTCCACATTCACCAAGCAATCTTCTAAATATAATTCCCTTCCCTCAGGAAGGAATGCACTGGTCAAGCGACATCAGCACCCTACTTACTGATAGTTGTTGCTCTCATTGTGAACTGAGAAACAAACGCCCTGACTTTGAGACTTTGTCTCCTGTGTGCCGAACTAGCCTGCGTGACCCCAGCGCGTGCGGACGATCAAACCGTCAGCCACGGAACCTTCACCAGGAGACGGCTACCCCAGACGGAGGGCACCGTACCCCCGGCCTCAGTGTCCACAGGACTCATCGTGAGACATTTAAGAAAACTTTATGCAGGTTTTTATTAATTTATGTGGCTTTTAAATTAACAGCAAGTTACAGCTAGCAATCTATTAAACAGACTTAAAGGAAACCAAAATAGAATGTACACATCCCATAAACTAATATGAAATTATAATTAGGCAGAAAATCATCACTTTTATTAAAACCAACGCTGCACAACATATGCAGGAATCGAAGCCTGATCTTTTTCAGTCAACATCATTTGAGCTAAATGAATTCACAACCCTTCTCACGGTGTGTGTGATCTGCATTGCCGCTGCCAGTGTTTTATAGTTTCTATGATTGATACGGAAGTATGTATTCAAATACTGTCAATTCTATGACAAGGAAAACCTTAAAGGTTCTTTCTTCTTCACAAAACAACAACAACAACTATGGAAGATAATTCTTAATAAAGAGTTCTTAAAAAACAATTTTTAAAAACCTAAACCTACAAGAAAATTGGCCTAAGAAACTTGCAAAAAAGAACTACAAAAGGCCAAGAATACTAAGAAAACTATTCAACCTCACTAGTAATGCAAATTAAAACAAGATACCAGATTAGCAAAGGTTATTTTTTTTAAGTCTTAATGCAAAAAGTTGTCAAGGATTTGTTGAAATGGATACTGTCATATACTGCTGATGAGAATGTAAATTATTACAACTGTTTAAAAGAGAATCTTGACAACTGAAAATTTTGAAGATTCAACCCTTTGTCACAGAAATTTATTCTAAATAAATAACTAGACAAACACAAAAATTTGCATATATTCAAGGATGTTCATCAGAATAGAAAAAAAATTGTAACACTCACTGAATAGTGAAATAATTTATGAAACCATCATAAAATACTGAAGAATATTTAATAACATAGAAAAACATGATGTTAAACAGAAAAAATAAGTAACAAAACTTTATACAGTGTGATCCAATTTTTGTAAAAATGTGAGGTGGATGTGTGTGTGTATGTGTGTGTATATGTGTGAATTGATTAACCCTTTAAAAAAAGACTGAAGTGAAATATCTACATTACTAACAGTGACTAGTCTAGAGGGTGGTATCACTACTAGTTTGTATTAATTTATCTAAACTTTCATCTCTGTTTTCTACAGATGTTACACTGAGTATCTGTTTGTTACATAATCAAGATGAAAATATAAAACTTTCTTGGCTGGGTGCAGTGGCTCACACCTGCAATCCCAGCACTTTGGGAGGCCTAGACAGGCAGATCACCTGAAGTCGGGAGTTCGAGACCAGTCTGGTCAACGTGGTAAAACCCCACCTCTACTAAAAATACAAAAATTAGCCAGGTGTGGTGGCGGGTGCCTGTAATCCCAGCTACTCGGGAGGCTGAGGCAGGAGAATCGCTTGAACCTGGGAGGCGGAGGTTGCAGTGAGCCGAGATCACACCACCGCATTCCAGCCTGGGTGACAGAGCAAGACTGTCTCAAAAAAAAAAATTGTACAGCTGTGTAATGTATTTGTGTTTTAAGTTAAGTGTTACTACAAAAATGTCCAAAAGTTAAAAAGATTAAGTTTATAAAGTAAAAACATTACAGCAAGAGGTTAATTTATTATTCATAAATGTAGCCACGTGTAAGGTGACTCTGCAGGACCGAACACTGAATTCACTCCCCACTCACGCACAGCAGCTGCAGTCCTGCCTGCTCCACTCATGGAAAGTGCCCTTACAGGCGAGCATTTTCCATGTCGTACCATATTGCTGCTGCAGCGTTTCCAGGTTTCAATATGTCCAGATATACAGGTGCTTACCATTGCGTTCACACAGCAGTCAGCACAGGGCCATGCTGGACAGGTTTGTGGCTGAGGAGCAACAGGCTACCTCGTAGAGCCTGTTGTGAAGGAGGCTATGCCATCTGAGTTTGTCCAAGTATCCTCAGCGATGTTCACACAAGGAAATCACCTAATGATGCATTCTCAGAGTATACCACCATCCTGGGCTGTCTGAACCCAGAGCCTACGCCCTCCAACCACCTGGATTTGGGATTGGTTAAACCTAAGAGAAGCCAGCGTGTGTCCTCAAGTCAGTAAAGGCACACTCACCTGCCCCGTCAGGAGTGATGGTTCCCAGTTTCACGGCTAGCGGGTAGCCCATGTCTCTGTAATGCTCCAGCGCGTGCCCATTGCCCCCAGAGCTGTCAAAGAACCACTTTCCGCACAGGACAGAGCCGTCAGTCAGATTCAGCCACAGGTTTTCTCGCAGGTCGCATCTGGCACACTTCCAACCACTGCAAAGCCATTGGAGAGCGGTCAGAGCATCCAGAGAGCGTCGTTTAAAAATTCACCTCTAAGACAACAGAGCGTTTCCAGCAGGCAGGCCACAGCAGAGGCGCGGTGGAATCACAGACACTGGTGCTTCCCCATGTTCTCCCCTTAAAACACTGTTGGCCAGACGCGGGGCTCATGCCTGTAATCTCAGCACTTTGGGAGGCTGAGGCAGGCAGCTCACCTGAGGTCAGGAGTTCGAGACCAGCCTGGACAACATGGAGAAACCCTGTCTCGATTAAAAATACAAAAAATAGCCAGGTGTGGTGGCGTGCACCTGTAATCCCAGCTACTCGGGAAGCTGAGGCAGAGAGAATTGCTTGAACCCAAGAGGTGGAGGTTGCAGTGAGCTGAGATCATGCCGCTGCACCCCAGCCTGGGTGACACAGCAAGATTCTGTCTCAAAAAAAAAAAACAAATTGTTTCTCCCCCAGAATAGCAGGATGACTCAGCACCCTGCCCGCCACCCAGAGGTGGGCTAGCCCCTCCAGCAGCTCTGAGGGGCTTTTTTACTTTCGAAAACTGACACACAGTTGGGGCTGGGACAGGAGCCCATTTCCTTGCAATTCCTCCATGAGACAGAGGAGCTTGACCAAGTTTGAAATATTAAGGATCTTGTGTGTATAAATGGCTAGAGTTCTAAAGCATCAATCACATGGACTACAACTAGTTTATACAAAACCTGACTCCACTGCAAATCTAAATTAGTTAGAAAGGAAACCAATTTGACTAAATGCTAAATGCCAACTATGTGCCAAGTACCTTCCAGAAGTCTCATCATTTAATCCTAATAAACACCTTTCGGCATCACTGTTTTTACGAACAGAGAAACGGAGGCCCAGAAGTCACCCTCGTTTCCTGAGGCCACACAGCAGGTGAACACAGTGCACCTGTCAGGATTCAACCAAATCAGACACATTCCCAATCCATCTGCCTCTGTAATCACACCGGCACCTTGTAAGAGGAGACATGAATGGAGCCCAAAGGCTATTCCAGCCAAAATGTGACAACCGAGGACTTGTGAGTTGGATTCTCCTAAAACAAGACTCTGAGACAAAGCAGTGAAGGAAAATGGCTTGTCTGGGAGGTGATCCCAAGGAAGAGGCGAAGACACAAGAAAGGGCCCGAGCTGCTTCAGGACATGTCAGTGAGCCAAGGTACACTGTGGGCAGCTGGGCTCCGGCCACGTGGGGAACTGCAGGAGACAGGTATCCCGCCTGGAGGGGCAGGAAAATGGGGTATTACTCCACCCACGCCACAGCCACTGGTTTAGGGCTGCCCCAGGAGGAGGGAGGAAGCTTCGCTCCGATGTTTCTGACTGTCCCAGGCACCAGCCGTACTGGCTTTGGCAAGCAGAAAACGCATTCGAGCCAAGGGTCGCAAGTGCTTGCAACTGGCAGCTTCAGGACAGGGAAGGGCCTGGTGTATGGGCTGAGCACGTTCAGCATCTACTACAAAGGTACAGACAATTTCAGAGAGAAGTTTTATATTTACTTTCAATAAAAGGCATCTGGGGCTGGGCACGGTGGCTCATGCCTGTAATCCCAGCACTTTGGGAGGCCGAGGCAGGCAGATCCCCTGAGGTCAGGAGTTCGAGACCAGCCTGACCAACATGGAGAAACCCTGTCTCTACTAAAAATACAAAATTAGCTGGGGGTGGTGGCACATGCCTGTAATCCCAGCTACTTGGGAGGCTGAGGCGGGAGAATCACTTAAACCCAGGAGACGGAGGTTGCGGTGAGCTGGGATCACGCCATTGCACTCCAGCCTGGGCAACAAGAGTGAAACTCCATCTCAAAAATAAAAATAAAAGGCATCTGGTAAGAAAAAATATAACTGCCAATTCAAAAAAGAGAAAACAAATATTCATTTGGCCAGTTTTAGGGAGTAAAGTTCCATTCTGCGACTCGACTCTCACCTTGGAGGAATCCTGACTCCGTTGTCCAGCTGGGTGAGGTTGTTGGCGTATTTGGACACCGGCAATTCATTTTCCCATGTATCTGGGTCCTGCTTTCTGTACGGAGACTTTGAGCTGAGAACGGCATCGCAAGCGATCGTTACCTGTAAGACAAACCCAGATGTGATATAAGAAAACAGTCTGGGAGAATAACAGTTTGCTGGTGAATGCCAAATCCACTAGAATGTGAGTTTAAAGCTGAAGAAATGCACTCAGCAGAGCTGTCACAGGAGCGAGAGCCAGTTTTCCTGCACTGGCCCCGCACCCAGCTCGGCCTGTCCCTGAACTATTGACAGTGGCACAGAGAGCAAGAAACTAGATTCATTTTCTAAGCCCAAGCTTAGAGGTCAGATTTAACAGTTCCTGCCACTTAGCAAGCAGGGTGAAAAGTCGGAGTGAACAGCATACAAGGGTGAAATCAGACATAGGAATGTCCAGGACTTGCCCAAGTGCTGTGTCTCCCTCACAACGAATGTACGCATCTCAACTCATCACACAACGGCATGTGGTCAAGGGCACTCGAATGGCATGGAAGCAGCCTGGCTCCACTTCTTAATCTGGTGCAAATGTGACCCTGGACAGGAACATGCCTGGGTGTCTCTGTGCCAGACCAGTCCCCATCACGAGCAAATCTGTGATGTCCTGCTCGGCACCGACTGACCGCAGGGGAGGAGGGAACAGGCTCTCTGCCTTCTCCCTGCCCCACTGATCCTGGCCAAATGCCTGTTACCAATTTGCTATTGGCTTAATGATGTAAGCTATTTCCAGCTGTCCTTTAAAAACATATATTCTGGTTGCAAGGTAAACTGGTAGAGCTGCTTTGGAAAAGTTTGGAAGTTCATCAAATAGTTAAACAGTTACCGCATGGCCCAGTAATTCTACCATAGGCCTGCACCCAAGAGAAATGAAGATATGTGTCCGCACAAAAACTTGTACACATTGTTCACAATAGCATTATTTATAATAGGCAAAAACTGGAGCTGGGCACAGCGGCTCCTGCCTGTAATCCCAGCACTTTGGGAGGCCGAGGCGGGTGAATCACTTGAGGCCAGGAGTTCGAGACCAGCCTGGCTAACACGGTGAAACTCCAGCTCTACTAAAAATACAAAATTAGCTGGGCATGGTGGCATCCATCTGTAGTGCCAGCTACTCAAGAGGCTGAAGCAGGAGGATCGCTTGAGCCTGGGAGGCAGAGGCCGTAGCGGGCTGAGAATGCACCCCTGCACTCCAGCCCGGGCAACGAGAGACAAACCCTGTCTCAAAAAAAATGTTTAGCAAAAAATAAAAATAATGGAAACAACCCAAAAGCCTATGGATATAACAAATAGAATGTAAGATAAAATGTTGTATATATAATGGAATGTTATTTGGCAGTAAAAAGGAATGAAATATTGATACATGCTACAATATAGATAAACCTTGAAAAGATATTCTAAGTGAAAAAGCCAGTCACAAACAACAGCATATTACATGATGCCGTTTATGTGAAACGCCCGGACTAGGCAAGTCTGCAGAGATGGAAAGTAGATTGCTGAGTGCCGCAGGCTCGGCGTGGAGGAGGCGCTGGAGGACAATGGGGTGTGGGGGTTTTGGTGAGGCAAGAGAAACATTCTAAAATTAGATCGTGCTGATGGATGCCCAACTCTGAATATAATAAAAGCAACTAAATTGCTAAAAAAAAAATTAACAAAATATGTCATCTAAATCACTAATATCCTGCACAATGAGCTGACCATTTTCCCCTGAGTGGTACTTCCCCATGTGTCTAGGTCCTGGCATCTGACCCTAGAACCAAGGAAGAAACGAGGAACAATGGAGGAAGTGCCCTCAGCGGCCACGTCACCCCACCTCGCCCACAGGTGAGTCCCAAGAGCCGCGTGTCCACTCCACCCCAGCCCTCCTGGTCCTGGCCACCGTCGTGGTTCCCCCACGGCTGCACGACAGCCACCTCACAGCGGCCTTTCCTCTGCCCTGCCCTCCTCTCTGCACGGCAGCCAGGGTGATCTGCTGTGAAAACTACATCCTAGCCTTCCCCAGCTTAAAACTCTCCGAGGTTATACTGACCACTGCTGATGAACAACACTGAGCTCCTCAGCCAGGAACAAGGAGGGGTCCCTGGCCTCAACAAGCTTATAATCCTTAGAGATCAGGATACAGTTAAGCCTTTCAAAGCAGATCCTCCCGTTTGTCTCCCGCCACAAAGGCTGCTGCATAATTCGCTTTTTCTTTCCATTATGAAAACTCATCTCCCATCACCTTCACAAGTGCTCACAGAAAAGGGAGCTGAGGTCACCACAAGCCGCTTCCAGGCTTTATGGGTTTGGGACGCGCCACCTCAGCCCTTCTAGCCAGGACTTCTTCCTCGCTCCTGACTGAGGAGCCCAGGGTCGTCGGTCAGCAGTGGTGAGAGTTTGGAGTGGAGAAGGGCAGGACCTGAGCTTCACAGCAGATCACCCTGGGGCTGTGGGGCAGAGGGCGGAAGGCCACAGTAAAGAGGCCGTGTGTGGCCCCCTCATCTTTCCAGTCTGACCTGTCATAGCCCCCTTGTTTGTTTCACCAACTACCTGAATCACGTCTGTGTCCTCCTGAGGACAGCCTCCGCCCCTCCTAGATCTTCTCTAAGCGTCTGGTTTGCAGTGCACCTGGACTCTGAACAAGACTCAGACAGAATACTTCTCCTTTGTCTTTGAACATCTTCCTGGCTGACAACCAATAAAATCCTTAGTCTTCTGCGCCTATAAAACACTGACCCAGTGTTTTCAGAGTATCATCCAGAATCACTTAAAGGCCCTTTTCATGGGTGACAGCTGAAGGTCAGGATCCATCATCCCGTAATCACACTGTGAATCCTTTTTCCCGGGGTACGTTATCCGAAGTGAAGCGAAAAGACCTTGGTACTAGCCCGGGCTCCATCCCAAGCCGTCAGAAGACTCCAGTTCAGTTCTGCACTGGAACTAGCTCAAACTGGCTCATAAGAGGCCAGCTTTAAATTTTAGGAAATTTGGCAAGGTGGTTGCTAAACACAGCCATTATAAAACATTAAATCATACAAACTTACAACTAAATAAAATGTTTTTGAAAAGGTGACATGGAATCAAAAATTCTTCACTTCCTAGTTGTTTTACTGTATCTTCTTACGATCTATGCGCTCTGGAGGTTTTCTTTACATACATGTCAGCTGCGTGCTGGAAATTCTGTGTAACGGTCTGCTACTGCCAATCTCTTTCCAACACCGAATTCACATGACAGCCGGAAGTCAGCCATGGTGAGAGTATTTATACCATGGAATCAGCAGACACAGCAAAACAGGGCGTCTCCCCTAGGGAGCCCGTTGTAAACATTCACAAGCAAACCACTGCTCCAATTGCTGGTGTCAAAAATGAAGGCATTGGATTCGAGGCTCCAAGTTCCCTGCTGAGCTCACAGGGCTCTGACTCTGTGAACCCGGCATCACCAGGGGCGGCTTAACGTTCTGGTGGAAACTACAGACTAACTCTCTGAAACTGAAATTCTTCTGTGCCCAGACGCTCAGGAGATGAAGGAAGAACCTGGTGAGGTGCTTTGAGCTCAATACGTTTTGTCATTCAAAAGTTTAAAAAGAGAATTGTCATCGCCAAAAATGTGGCAAAAGCATGAAAAGAAAATATAGTAGCTTCTAGGTAGATAAACCCATCCGTTCCCAGGAGGCAGGCCCAGGCTCTGCCTGTAATGCCCCCACCCTCATCTTCCAAATAATCCTCTCTTCTTCTCTCATTCTTAAAGTATTTAATACTGAAAGATTCTATATTAAAAATGATTATATATCTTGCTGGATTCAGATGTCTATGGCACTTCTTTTATTTTAAATAAGAGTATTCACATTTCAAATTATAATCCAAGTACAACAATAAGAAAAGGTTTTTTTCTTAACTTTTTTTAACATAAAGTCTTATTCATGAGGGAGTGAAAGGAAAATAATTTATCATAACATTGATTCACAATATGTGTCTTCTCTTCTGACAGCAGAAATAATAGTTATATTAAACAAGGCAGTAAGAACTCTCAGTATTACAGAAATATAAGCATCCATATATAATTTCAGGTAATGGGATGAGGTGAGGCCATTGTGTCCACTAACATATTTTATCCTTGGTAACGGCCACATGAGTCAACACGGAATTGGAGAAAGCAAAGGTAATTTAATTCTGCGTGCCATACTGAACACTGTGCACTTAGAACTAAACGAAGAGGAACAATAAATAAATATACACAAAATTCTCATTTCTATGGTCTTAGATATAAGGTGGATTGGAGCAAAAGAGAATGAATGGTGGAAACCTTAGTATCTAATGACAAGGAAACCCCACGCACACATGTCCCCTCTCGGCAGGGCAAGCGAGGAGATGGCAGCAGAGAGAGTCTCGCAGAAGACCCTGGGACCTCACGAGCTGGCTTTGGTTCCGGCCTAGTCCAAGGAGGGAAGAACGGACAGGCGAGTCTAAACCCAACCCACCCTGACCCGCTGCCATCTGTGGCCAGGCTCTGGGAAGCCAAGGTGTGCACAGAGTGGAAAGAGGAAAAGAAACAGGAGACGAGAAAAAACAAGGAAAGAGGGCAAGTGGCACAGGCACGAGAGGGCAGGAGCGAGAGTGGGGACGGTCAGGGTCCTCGGGGGCTCTGCGTGCCCACTCCCGGCGGGTCCTCGGGGGCTCTGCGTGCCCACTCCCGGCGGGTCCTCGGGGGCTCCGTTTGCCCACTCCCGGTGGGTCCTCGGGGGCTCTGCGTGCCCACTCCTGGTGGGTCCTTGGGGGCTCTGCTCTGCGTGCCCACCCCCAGCCTGCGAGAACCAGAAGAACCAAACCTGCCTCCCTGTCTCACTGCCAGCAGCTCCAGCTTCACGTTGAGAAAATCAAGGTCCCTCCAAAAAACTGGATTAGGAAGAAAAGAGAAGGGAAGAGGAGGCCGAACCTCACAGCTAGAAATATCTAAAACCTAGAAAGAGGTCTTCGTTCCCACAGGGAGTGAAACGGAAAAGAAGGTTGGTGCTCCCAGGGCTCCCGCGGACCTGTGCTTTGTAAATGCTTGGTTCTTTCTGTCACTGCGCTGCTATTGTTTCAGCAGTGGGCATGTTACATGGAAGGCCCACATAATAAACATGATAAAAAGACTCTCATCTCCCGATCAGAAAAGAGTCCCTCTCCAGCAGTCCCTGCAGCTCTGGGGTGTACGGTTTGAAAATCTAAGGAACAGACAGTGATTCAGGAGGCAAGAAGCCAGCCCAACCTGGAGACCAGCCTAATGAGCCACGAGGCCCAAACAGCAGCGAGGTAAGAGAGCAAAAGGCCCAGAGCTACTGAAACGTGAGCCTGCAGGACCCCGTCACAGAACAGAAGAGGTGACCCGGCGCGGTGGCTCACGCCTGTAATCCCCGCACTTTGGGAGGTTGAGGCGGGTGGATCACCTGAGGTCAGGAGTTCGAGACCAGCCTGACCAACATGAAGAAACCCCGTCTCTACTAAAAATACAAAAATTAGCCGGGCATGGTGATGCACACCTGTAATCCCAGCTACTCAGGAGACTGAGGCAGGAGAATCACTTGAACCCAGCTGCTCAGGAGGTGAAGGTCGCCGTGAGCCGAGATGGCACCACTGCACTCCAGCCTGGACAACGAGTGAAATTCCGTCCCAAAAAAAAGAGACGAGGTGTGCGCACGTGCGGGCCAGCGCTACTGAAAAGTGAGCCCGCAGGACCCCATCAGAGAAGAGGAGAGGTGTGCCCGCGTTCACGCTCATTCTCACGCTTGTCAGTCCAGCCGCTCTCCCCACCCCACCCCTGCACCCGCCCCTGCACACACACACACGTGCGCACGCACACACACCTGACACAGAGCCACACGCATGTAGCTAGCCGCCGCGCACACTCACTGACCAGGGCTGGTAACTCCTCAATATTTGGTAGTGCTATTTCATAGTGATCTGGGAATATAACAAGTTTGGCTTCATCTTCATATTCATAATCGTCGCTATTTAAATCGTCATCAGTATCTAGATCTGAGGAGGAAACAAAAACAGAGAACAAGAAGTGAGGAAAGCAGCATCCCACTCTGCTCTGGGGAAAGCCACAAGTCCAGGGCGAGGCGATCCCAAGGGTGTGACATCCTCAGCCTGCTCCTCTGACATGGCAGGCCATCGTCCCAAACCAGCAACAGCTCCCTGCCCAGCTTTTCTAAGTTGTGAACACTTACTTATCAGTGACTGATGTATGAAGAAGACTGAGCCATTCCATAAAGCTTTACACTTAAAATAGACCAATGTGCAAGATACTCAAAGAATTTCTCAGAAAGAAAATGTCTTAGAAATTCCTAAAAAGGAAAGGATTGGGAATTCCGCTGTCAGGTACCCAGCTCCTGATTTCACAATAGGCTGGAACAGTTGTTTGTTTTTTGGGGTGTTTTTTTTTTTTTTTGCAATATCATAATATGAAAGTATGGTTTTAGAGTTGATGCACTTAGGTTCAAGTCTGGCTCTAAAACATAATGTCACTTTGGGCAAGTCACAAAGTCTCTCAGCCTTAATTTTCCCATTTCTTGCATGGAGATAATGGCATATATCTCACATAGTTTATGCCGGAGATAAACAAGAACAAGAGACCTGGCAATATAATAGGTAGTCAGTACATGTTAGCTATAATTTAAAAACAGAATCTCACTCTTGCTCTCTCCCTCTCCCTTTCTTAGAGGGTTGAGTTACTGCATAGTAGACCAGAGGGGGAAGCCCTATAATGTGAGCGGTCAGATTGTCCTTGGCTGCGGAGAATGATCGGTAAGAAAGAAGAGCTCCTTGGCCAGGTGCGGTGGCTCACACCTGTAATTCCAACACCTCGGGAGACCGAGGTGGGTGGATCATGAGGTCAAGAGAATGAGAGCATCCTAGCCAATATAGTGAAACCCTATTTCTACTAAAAATACAAAAATTAGCTGGGCGTGGTGGCGTGCGCCTGTAGTCCCAGCTACTCGGGAGGCTGAGGCAGGAGAATTGCTTGAACCTGGAAGGCGGAGGTTGCAGTGAGCTGAGATCACACCACTGCACTCCAGCCTGGGCGACAGAGCGAGACTCCATCTCAGAAAGAAAGATGAGCTTCTCTAGCCTGTTATCCATCAAGTTGTCACCTCTTTGCTCGGCTCATCTCTGGTAAAGATTAAATGAAGGCTCAAGGAAATGTCTTGTCACAATATTTACATAGACATTTCAGCATCACTTTCACAGGGATGCCAGCATCCCAGATCATGTTTGTATATTTATGCTTGGAACTATGGTGACAAAGAGTTAGTGAGTTATATTCCACTCACATGCACACAAACAGGCACACAAACACACAGAAACGTGGGCTCTACAGACAAAGTTATTTCACTTATTGAAGCAGCCACCTGAGAACCAAAGGGTCCACGCTGTTATTACTTAGACCCAGTATATGTTTGTGTACAGCTCTGCTCTTAAATTCCCAAAGGCAGGGCAGCTTGTAATAAGTGAACAAATAAGATACAGCTAAAATGAAGTCTAAGCCTTTTTTTGTTCTTGGAGGCAGGGTTTCACTCTGTTGCCCAGACTTGAGCGCAGTGGTGTATCATAGCTCTCTATAACATCCAACTCCCAAGCTCCAGCTATCCTCCCACCTCAGCCTCCTGAGAAGCGAGGACGGCCGGGCCTGGCTTATTTTTTATTCTTTGTAAAGACAGGGTCTCACTATGTGACTCAGGCTGGTCTCAAATACCTAGCCTCAAGTGACCCTTCCCACCTCAGCATCTCAAAATGCTGGGATGAAAGGTGTGAACCGCCACATCTGGTCTAAATGTTTTAATAAAAGACTCTAAACAGTAAAAGTCAGAAATACCAAAATAAAGAGCCAAACCAAACAACACTGCTAGGGAGCTACAGAAGAGAAGGTCATTTGACAAAAGGTCATTTTAAAGAAGATTCTGTGAGTTTCGGCAGTAACTAAAGGCATTTCCTTCAAGGATAGAATTCAAAGAAAGATTCTATATGTTATAAAAATGTGAATGCTTCAATATCTATAACTTCTTAAGCTGGAATCTAAATGTTTAATAAAAATAGTATTCAACCCAATTTAATATTATTTAAGTCATAGTTTAGACTTTAGGCTACATAGAAACAGAAACGTTTATGCTATGTTAATGCTAAAAATACAAAATTCATCTTCACTGTAAAGACTTTATATTATGCTCATAGACAAAAATGAGAAGGAAACCTAAACAAATGAAAATAATGAATGAATGAGCTTTATTCTTGAATCTTTCTTTATTATAATACTGTATATATAACAATGTTAAGTAACCAAAGCATAAATCTTGTGATTTTGTATGCAGATTCAGCTCATATATTATGTCTCTTTTCCACAGAAAACATGCTCATTTAAAGTTAATTTAATGAGCATAAAAAAAAAAAAAAATCCTTGGCCAGGCATGGTGGCTCACACCTGTAACCCCAGCACTTTGGGAGGCCAAGGCAGGCGGATCACGAGGTCAAGAGATCGAGACCAACCTGATCAACATGGTGAAACCCTGTCTCTACTAAAAAATACAAAAATTAGCTGGGCATGGTGGCACGTGCCTGCAGTCCCAGCTGCTCCGGAGGCTGAGGCAGGAGAATTGCTTGAACCCGAGAGGCGGAGGTTGCAGTGAGCCAAGATCGCGCCACTGCACTCCAACCTGGCACCTGGCGACAGAGCAAGACTCTGTCTCAAAAAAAAAAAAAAAAAAGTCCTACTCTGGTATTTGCTAGCTACGTAACTCTAGAAAATTTATTTCTAAGTTCATTTTTCTCATGAGTAAGACACACATATTATCTACCCCACATGACTGTTAAAAGCGGATTAAACAAGATAAAGTGTTAAGGCCAGTGCAGGATCTGGTAGGTTCTAGGGGACTCCACAAACGACTGCCGCCATCCCCACCCCCTTTGCCGCCTCCTCCCTATTCCTGAAACGAGCACAAGTGAAAGCGCCTTCCCTTTTCCCTTCCCTTTGGGTGCAAGACCACGGCACCATGTGGGGACCTTCTATGAAATCTGAGCATCCAGAGGGTATGACCTTCAACTTCTTCTAGACTGTACGCTCAGAGAGCAGGAAATGAGTCTTACCGCCCTGTCCCTAGCCCCTGTTCTGTGCCCGGCACACACCACACTCTCTGTAAGTGTCTGTGAACGGGACTTCAGGAAGCCAACAACATCAACGTGCTAAAAACAACAGCAAAACAGGAAGATCAAAAGAGCTGCGCTGCATTTTAACTGGCAACTCCTGTGTAAGAAGACGCAAGACTGCTGCCATGCAAAAAAGTAGAACTGTTGTGCCTCTTTACACTTAGCTGACGTTTACTTTTATTTTATTTTATTTATTTTATGTTTTCGAGACGGAGTCTCGCTCTGTCGCCCAGGCTGGAGTACAGTGGCTCCATCTCAGCTCACTGCAACCTCCGCCTCCCGGGTTCAAGCGATTCTCCTGCCTCAGCCTCCTGAGTAGCTGGGATTACAGGCACCCACCACCACGCCCAGTTAATTTTTGTATTTTTAGTAGAGACGGGGTTTCACCGTGTTGGCCAGGCTGGTCTTGAACTCCTAACCTCGTGATCCGCCTGCCTCAGCCTCCCAAAGTGCTGGGATTACAAGCATGAGCCACCGTACCTGGCCATACTTCTATTTTTAATTCAATGGAATGGAAGAGGGGCATGATCTTTCCCAAAAAATTTAATCCAAATTAGGGAAAAGTCCACCAGAGGCAACCTATGTTCTGATTTAGCGGACAAATCTACGGTTCCTCCTGAACAAATACAACCCCACAGCCCTAATAAAACCAAGATTTCCACATGTCTTTAAATCATGTCTCGTCACCCCAAAAATATTTAGTTGAAAAACCTACAGAGTAACCATGCCCTAGGGGGCCCATCCTCTCCTCAGCTGCTACATTCTATCTGGCTCTTACGTGGCAATACCCAAGAGAGCTTTCTCCAAGTTAAAAAATAATCATAATACAAAAAACAAAAGGCCGGGCACCGTGACTCATGCCTGTCATACCAGCACATTGGGAGGCCGAGGCAGGTGAATCAAGAGGTCAAGAGATCGAGACCATCCTGGCCAGCATAGTGAAACCCCATCTCTACTAAAAATACAAAAATTAGCAGGGCGTGGTGGCACACACCTGTAGTCCCAGCTACTTGGAAGGCTGAGGCCGGAGAATCACTTGAACCCGGGTGGCGGAGGTTGCAGTGAGCCAAGATCCTGACGCTACATACACTCCAGCCTGGCGACAGAGTGAGACTCCACCTCAAAAAAAAAAAATTCTTCCCCAACTCTGCTTCGACAGTAGTCCGGGGATCTGAGGAGAAGCGGCCGGGAATGCCCATTTCCCCAGGACACCCAAGCTGTGAAGGACAGGGTGGGGACGAATGGTCCCTGCACAAAGCCACAGCCTGATTCCCAGGTCAGAGTTCTCCCAGCCTGACCGTATTAACTATAACTGTTGGAGGCACGTGTCTGTCCAAGGGCTGCATCATCTAACCAACTCTTTACCTTCAGGAGAAGGTACAGGGGGAAGGCCTCTTCAGCACAGAACTTATTCTCTCTCCCACTTCAGAAAGAAAGAGCAAATGCGGTTTATTTGAACCTTCTGGTTATCAGAGGCGCAGATGAAGTTTCTGAACAGGCCCATTAGCGAAACTTTGCACACATTTCCTATTTTCAGTCCATTTCTCAGCAAGTTTGAACACTGGTCTAAGCTAAAAGCAGTGGAATTTGAGTTCTCTGAGGTGAAGCGGCAGATCCTTGGAAGTTCCCCTCTTCAGACACAGAACCGAACTCCTTACTCCTGCTTGTGAAAACTGGGGCAGGCTCCATAAATATGTAAATATTTCACACTGTTTTTTATGATGTATCAAACATATGTTTTTTGTCTGTTTGTTTGAGACAGTCTCGCTCTGTCGCCAGGCCGGAGTACAATGGCACCATCTCGGCTCACTGCAACCTCTGCCTCCTGGGTTCAA